ACAGCATATTTACGAAGTAATCTCGGCTCTGGATGGCCGTACTTATCAGAATCTAGTAGCTTACCGAGAGAAGAATCCTCATATTGCATAGAAATAATAGTCTCTCGTAAACTGATAGGGGTCTCATTATCGGAGAGCTCAATTGTACAGAAATCTACCACTTCCCTTACTTGATCACTTCCAATAGTGTCCACATGCTCTGTGTCCACGTCATACGGTAAGCCTTCCCGGCGGCGAAAAACTTCTACCGCAAGTTTCAGGCCAGCATCTTCGTGAGGGAGGGTAGTCAAAGGTGTACCACGAGAGAAGGCGTCGGCTGGATTATGACGTCCACTCAAATGGTATATAGTACCATTTAACAAAGCCAATTTCTTAGCAATACCAAGGAGAACCTTCGACTCCCACTGTGGTATATCAAGTGATTTTGATGGCCATATGATATCCTTGGAGTCATCGTTCTCATCACGAACATATTGTTGGGCTTTACGGAGTCGGAAAAAGTTGGCGGAGTTGTCCGTGAAGAACTGAACCTCCAACTTCATGGTTCCATTCACCGCTAGAAGAGCTCGTCGAGTTTCTATGTAGAGGGCAACTGCTTCTTGTACAGCCAACAACTCCTTTCTCACTATTGTCCATGACCTTCGCTGACCACCAATGAGCTTAGTATAACAACGGATGATGTTCAGGTTAGCATCGGTAATAACCACTCCTATTCCATATGCTGACGAATCCAAGAACACACAGATCACAGGATTCCTGACGGATACATAAAGCCCTTGGAATACCAGAAAATCGTCTCAACTCATCCGTGCTTCTCATAATAGATTCATATGAAGACCTTTTTACAAAGGCATCCAAGTCACCGTCGGTGGTCCGTTCAGATTCATCACGAATGATAAGTCTCATAGCCAAGAGAAGATGACCCACGAACCCCAATGGGTTGTATATACTGGCAACATAGCCCATCAAATCACGGATAGTCACGACACACAAAGAGTCATCAGA